CACGAAAAAGCCACCGTTTTAAAACCATCCCCGTTGCCACCGACTACTGAGGTTCACCCCCTCATTTTTATCAAGAAGTTGGTTATTAACTTCTCACACACCAAAGGTCTTTAAAATCTAAAAGTGGAAAACGAAAACCACTTTCTGTCGTGACTGGCTAATTTGACTGTGCAAAGAGTTCATCCGTGTCATCCATATGCATGTTATTTAGGACCCATTTTAGGCAACTCTTAAATTAAATAAGTCAAAAAAGAATTGGGTTTCCGTGGTTGACCACACTCGTTTTAGATAGCCGGTAGCAACTGGGAGGTTGAAACCATGAAGACTAATCAATTGCGTTGTCCAATGCATTTAGCATCAAAAGCTGAAAGTACCGGGTACGGTGTCCAATCCGTACTATATAACGGTGAAGCCATCCAAGGGAAAGGACTATTCAGAAAGGTCACCAAGCACATGCACACAAACACACAACCTGAAATCTGGGGACGGCTTCTCATTTTCCAAGACATCACCAGTCTGATTGAGAGCCTGAGGGAATGTGAAGATTCGGATCTGGTTTTTGAACCAATTTCACCGGAAGATTGAGCGTAACCACCTCTCTAGTCGTTCCTTTCAACGAAAAAAACCGGCCCACCAAAAGGCTTGGCTGTTTCTGTCTCCGGTACTGATGTACTTCAAAAGATGTCAACATCGAACAGCAGGTTGAGTGGTCTCTAGCAAGTCAGAGTCACCAAGCATCATGTCCAAATCCCTGTGCTACTCACCATCTCAAATGTTCATAAATTGTCTCACGTTCCCCAGCTGAACCAACCCCGCACCACTGCACCACCGCACCACAAAACAAACCGTTCCCTCCTCGCCGGAGGGCATCTTTTGAGCTGCTCTTGGCCGCCTCTTCACAATGAACCATCAACTCCCAAGCGAAGAGCGCTGGATTCACCCCGTACCTCCCGCTCCGTGACGCGTCCGGTCCACCCCGGGGTCGAGGGCGGTCCACCCCGGTGTCGGAAGCTGAGACGGAAGACGCTGGAACTTGAAGGTCCGGAGATCTCCTTGTGAGACATCGATTCGCGAAAAGTCCTGGGGAAAATACTTGGAGAGGGGAAAGCATTGCATTGGTGTTTGCATTGGGTTTGGTCTGTTCACGAGAAAGTGCAGGAATTCTTTCGGCTCTTGTTGCGATCTCTTCAGAGCCCCCAAGGTCCAAGACCCTATATAAACAAACGGAGGAAAGTCATCCGCCAGGGCAAAGTCTCACGATCTTCGTTCTACGAAAAACGCTGCCCGTATAGGGGGGTGGAGTTGTATGTGGCTTGTCTTGACGGCCTGGTGCTGTGCCCGGATCGGTTCACAAGGTCGTCCATGTTTCCTGAAAGTCTTCCCATCAACGGGAGTTTCTTTCATCAGGCAGGACAAAAGTTGGTAACAAGATGCAACAAGCCTGTGAATACATGACCTACAACCCTCTACAACCCTAGAATTCTACAGGGGATCACAGTGGAATTCCGTATTTTAACTTAGTTCGGGGTGGAAACTCATCCGCAGGAATTCCACTGGGAAAGAGAAGTCGTATCAGTGAGATTGTCGAGTGAAGTTGTTGCCAAACTTTCATCCTCCTGAAGTATAGCTTATAACTTATATATAACTATCCGAAACCCAAGTGCTCACAATGGATCATGACCTCCTTCCAAACCCCGCGTTCTTGTGTGTTTGGTTGATCTTTTGCGATGCTGAGATATTTTCGGCACCAGTGCCAACTCCAAAATGGACCACCCCCAAACAAGGATGCAACCGAAGCTGCAACCGATCAGAAATGTTCAACCTCAGGTCTTCGATGGTCACCATCGACTGTCTTGGAGCCACCGTTCCCAGCCTCGCCCAGCTGCTTACACCATCCGCCACGCCGACCACGATGTGGTCCTGGAGGGTGGCGGGTTTTCCCATGTGTTCCATGGAGAGCTGAACTTCGGAGAGCTGAAATGAATCGAAATCCAAATCGATCGGAATCCATCGGAATCAGCTACACTCTCGGAGTGTAGCATGAAATCAGTGGATGGAAAGATGGCCCCCGACATTCGGAGCATCCTGAAATCGATCCAAAATCCGGGTGTCTTCGAGGTGTTTCAACACAACCGCGGGACTACAGGATCCAACCTTACATGTGTCGAAAGCTGCCTCGTTTCGTCCCCGACCTCTTGAAAGGGTCTGTTGTTTCTTAGGCCGGGAGATCAAATGATGACATTACTTTGGTTTCTTCGTTTCCAATAAGGTTCTGCTCTTCATCCAACCTTATCACAAGAAGCGCCAGCCTTACCAGCAGCAATGAGAGTCTGTTTGTTGCTTCAATGTCAGAGTCCTAAAATGACCTATCATCCAAAATGATCTATCATCCAACCATCCCTCAAAACACATGCCAACAAAAACATGTGTTTCTTTTCCATCTCCCACCTTCAAGTCCGTCAAAAAGAAGGCATCGTCGCCACAGTCGTGGCGCACGGGCGCCACGATCTTCCGTGGCAGTGACTTGGAGACGCACCGTGCGGCGCACTCCACGCTGAAGCGCCCATGCATCCGGGGCGCCCACTTTTGGCCTCGTTTCTTGGGGTGATTCGTTGAACGGTGGGGGACGGTCGGTGCTCAAAGATCTGAATAAGGAGGATTGAGATGTCATGCGAAGCATGCGTCACTTGGAAGAGGATGTCGGGGATGTCATGAGCATTCTACCCATGTTCTCCATGTGGAGAGGACTGAATTGGTACCGTGATTCCAAGGAAAATTACCTTCCAGAGCAGGCTCTTGTGACGTTCTCCCCAGTAGACTCTAGACATTGCAACTTTGGGCAGGACTGGCACCCGTGTCCAAACCATTTTGGCCCGTTCTAGTGGTGATGTTTGACCTACAACTGGATGGAAATGATCTCGTTTTAGGTGTATTGCGTACGTCAACTCTATCCAAGTGGGTCTCATTGGGTACATCACAGCTTTTGTCTCAGTGGTATCAACAAGCATAAGCATGGAGTTTCTTTCCTTCTCCTTCAAAAAGTGGCATAAAAGTCCTCTCACCAGTGAAGGAAAAAGAAACCGTCCAGATGAACATGGGCCCTGAAAACCCATGGAAATGTTTAGAGTCCATGTGACAAGGTGATACTCTTTCAGGATCTTCCAGGGGAAAACTGACCGTTCAACCCTGTGACTGGTTGCCAATGGCCGCACGACAGCCAGCCCGCCAGTCCCCCAAAGGTCATCACCACGCGTTGGCGGAATGCCCGGCGGAACAGGCGCCGGGCTGAACCCGGACATGGTGCGGGTGACGCGATGTGGGCGATTTTAGCAGAGGTACAACATATTATTATATACACAATGTTCTTCCAAAGAGGTGGTTGTGACAGTGAATGGTTGTGAAATCACCTGATTCAAAAGATTCTCTCAGCTAGGACCAAGGATTGCTTTTTCTAATGGGGTCCTGTTCTGGAGGGAAACAGCAGCTACGTTTGCCTTTCAACTGGATATTCAAGCTTCTTCCAGTCTAGAGTCTAGAGGTGGGTCGCTCCACCCTGGAAACCTGGTCGTGACCGCCTCAAATGAATTGGGGGTGGTCTACGCAACGGTATGGATCGGGTCTGTGCTTTTCAATCCCAAGATCCCAATCTTCTCATGCCAGGCAGGCCCCAAAAGGACCGCTGCCCACCGACCGCTGCTCTCCGTTCCGCCGAAGCCCACCATCTCGCAGTCGAGCTGCCATAGATCTTCGCTTCGCATCGGCTGGTGGTCGACCTCCGGTGTTGCCCACCCAGCGCCGCCGCGCTTCCCAATGCCGCGGGAAGCAAACGCCGCAGGGCCATGGCGATTCCAGGTCTGGGGGGAAGCAGCTGGGGGGGAGGAAGCATCCTGCTGGTGTTGTTGTTCGGGTTTCGTGAGACTGGATGGGGCGATGTGTTTCGGTGAAGCAAGGGTGGTGCAGCATGGTGGGCACAAGTTTAGTACACCCAAGGGGTAGAAAAGACATTGATTTCTTGGTCTTATGAGTCTCATGTCACTGTCGATCATGGAGGCCATATTCTATGCCGCTGTCTTTTCTTGGTAGGACCGTAGGAGTCTTGCCACACATTCTTCTCAAAGGCTTTTCGGTGTCACGTCTCTATAAGCAAATCAAAACAAAGACGCCTGCATTGATTTTATGTGTCACATAACTGATTCCGCGTTGAGGCAGCTGCTTTTGGGGGATAGAAACTGTAGATCATTAAGGAGCCAACTTCCAAAAAGCATACAAAAACATCAGGGAATGTCACTCAACCAATTCTCGAAGATCCGTTTTCATGTCTTCCTCATCCATCCAATCATCTTCTATTGGCATCACTGGAGCAGAAAGCGGCATCGCAGCGCTCCGATGAACGCACGCCCTCCACTAAACTGAGCATCATGTAGTCAGGCCTAAGCAACTGACCGGGTGCCAGTAGGGGCTGAGAAGAGAAGGAGCCCAAAACGGAAACCAAAAAACGTGTCGTGACGTGTCCCAAGGTCCTGACAAGGAGACTCTTCTTTGACTTTTGTAGGCTGCAATCAAACGAATCCGAATGCTGTTGGGTCCTTGGGCCATTCATGCCATCGTTCCGTTGGGTTGGATGGTTCCGGGGGGTTCACCCATGGGTCGATGCGAAAAACATCCTATGGCAAGGTCGTTCTGTTGGACGTGGTTGGCGTGGAAACGAAAAATGGGGAGATGAGTCAACTGTCACCGATGTGAATGACCCGAACTGTGAGCGCAGAACTCGTTCTCTTGCTCAAAGGGATTCGAACTTCTCAACTCCCAATCACTGCTGACATCCCAATCAGGTCAAGTCCTTCGACGGACGAACCAGCAGGTACCTGTCCATTCCACTCCAGTGGGGGTCACCGCTCTTCAACAGCCCTAGTGGACCTGCAGGGGAGGGCCACTTTGGAGAAGATCCTTGCTGACTTGGTTGGTGCTGGGACCTTGAAACCAAGCTCTGGGGGCTGCACGGAATCACCACCGCAGACCTCGAGGAGGTCTGCGCGACACTCGCGTGAATCGCGCGGTGAATCGGGGGCGACCCAACTGGGGGCGGTTGGTGTGGCGGGGTCTGCGGACGGATTTGGTGAAAATAGAGATCTCGAGATCTGATTCACAGAGATTCACACGACAAAACCCATGGCCCATAGGATGTAGACAACGTAGACGCAAACGTCCCAGGTGCAAACGTCGGGCTTGGGACGTCCCAACCTGCATTTTTCGGTACCCTTGAGACCGTCGCGCCGTCTTTTTCGGGAGCCAAATGGAGCCTAGGTTCGTTGGGAGTCCCCTGTTCAGGACTTCAGTGCAAGAAAGAATACACCTATTTAAAATATTTTAAAATCCTATATTTATAATCTGGAAAACCATCCGAGCGAAACCTTGAGTGAAACAACACTTAAGTTCACTATTGGGGACAACTACTCCATCCACGAACTCTAGGACTCTAAGAAAATAGGATAAAATAGGTCTGTTATGGTCTGTTTCTGTTTCCATCCACCCCAATCTTCATGAAATATAACACAAGTCAGTGCAAGCATCGAAGATGCTGGGAGATGGTGGCATGGCGCCGACGTCGGGAAGTCACTGGGCTGCCGAGCCTTGAACCCCAAGAGCCAGCGCCACATGGCGCCGTGGCGCAGCGAGTTGGGCGTTGTTGAAACCGGGTGATGACGCCATGACGAGTCGAGGGCGGGGGATGGTATGGATGGGTAAGACGGTGATGTATATGGTGCGTATGTGGCGCTTTAAAGGTCGACATAAAATGACAGCTACTGAGGCTCGGCCTGTAGATTCAGAAAGAATTTGGATCAACCACCATTTCTACGCCACTGTGGAAGGTGTCATGTTTGGATTTGGACACGGTGGGTAATTTCTGTACAGGGGTCTGGTGCGTATATCTTCGCCCAGTGCATACCGGGCATACTGCGAGTGGTGGCAGGGTGGAACCTCATGAAACTGGGACTGTAGGGTTTGCTCTTCCGTTGCTTCCGTAGCTTCTCAAGAGAGGCCAGCGTGGATAAGGAGCATGGTGAGAGGCTTCTTAAGGTAATATTAATATTCTTCAAGCGTGGAGTTCGGGTGCCACACTGGATGGCCCAGAAAGGTTGGAGTTCGGAACCCACGGAGTTTGGAAGCCACGTCGGCTCGGTCGTTGCATGGAAAGCAACGACCGCCATCAGCCACAGAAAGGTACCCGGACTAGAGAAAACATCGGACGGGCAAACAAACATCGCACATGTCGACAGTTGGTGTATCCTTCCAAATCCTCCCAGATCCATGAGCTGCAACTGCAGTAAGCAACATGGTGGATTTTTCCATGTTTTACAATGCGGAACATGTTGGGAGGTTATTCCAACACACCAGAGCTTGGAAGAACCCCTTCAGGTCCGATTTCATTGCAATGCGTCCACAGCGTACCACTGCGGAAAAAAAACGTTGAGTGTCTGGCTTCGGCAAGGAAACATCCCCCGGTTCGGGGCCTTTGGATGGTATCAGTCAGTGACCTTTTCCATCCAAAAAAGGTTGGCACCTATAGAAAACATATCCCTACAAGTCCAGTCTGACCCAGTAACACCTGGTCCTTTGCCTTCTTGAATAGTGTTTTTGTACGACCAACTTCAGTAAAATGAGGTCATTGACTTGTAGGGTATGTCTACATGTCGAAAGGTTGGTACATGTCGGACGGCTTGTCTGCACCCCCCCAAAACCGGCTCCGTCACACGGTGCACGATCGTTTCGGTGCGACGCTTCAGCGACCACGTCCGGACGGTGTCCCAGCTTTCGCCACGTGATACGGAAGAACGGAGAAGATCGCTGGGACACCAATCCATCCCAATCCACTGATGAATCGAAAAGGAATTGAGGGTTTCAGACCTTTAGATGGTTTTAGATGGATTGAGATACATTTGCCCATTAGATTGCATTTGGATGCATTTGGCTGGTTGGATAGATGCCTTGAGGCTCTGTATTTATAAATATTCCATGCATGAGTTGTTGGGGTTGGTCTGTATCCTCGGCAGCCGAGTCACAAGAAACCCGACCAGTGGTTTGTTCTACCAGTGGTTTGCAAGTCTATCGAAGTCGGATGAAGTCTCGTTCCTGATCCGTCTTCTCTCAGTGCCCAGTTGCTGATCGGTTGCAACTCACAACGCAGCTTGGGGACCACGAAGAGGCACCGGAGTCGTGCAGGAACCCCCGAAGGGTTCGGACGGTCTCCGGTCCGGTCAAGGTTCAGATACTCCAGGCGAAGTCGGTGTGTCTCTGCCTCTCTGACCCGACCCAAACACAGCGACTGACGGTGTGCCTGCGTGCGTCGGCTGGAGCCAGACACATTTAGAAAAACTAGAGGCTTCCCCCAACCCACCCCGGGACCCCCAAGAAAAGTCACAAATGGTGGACTAAGACTGAGGCTAGGTTCAGAAATGGCACTTAAGAATCCTTCCCCCAAATAGCACGCTTGTCTTTTGGGCCGAGCGCCTCCACCGCGGAGCTTTGCAGCCGCTGCGCCAACGCACCACCGCTGCGGTCTGCGGCAGAGTAGGCGGACTCCACCACCCGGGCAAGGCCTTATCTGCAGCGGATCCGGGCCCCATGCCGGTCCCGGTGGAAGAAAAACGACTCCGACTCAGCAACATGGGTCGAAGTAGTTTCCCCACCCCAATATGCAAAATGTTGTGGAGGCATCCAAAGCTCCTGCTATCCATGTGTTTGGAGGGAAGGGATCTCGTCCTTTTCCACGAACCCCACAGCTGAGCTTGATTTTCTCATATTTTCTCAAGCTTGGAAAGTTGATCTCATCCCTTAAAGGTGGATGGTGCTTCACATCTCGCCCAGGCACTTGTGGCTTCAGGTCGCTCCTCAGTCTCATCCATCCTCCCAAGCACTTCGACTGCCAGGCTCCATTGCGGACCTGCCGCCTTCAGCGCTCCTCGCGGGGTGCGAAGCGATAAAAATGGCCGCTTCTTGTGGCTGGTGGGTGGTGCGTCGAGAAACGACTGAGGTGATGGGGTATGTCTTGGAACCGATGTTGTCCACATGGTGAAAACCACGTGGTTTTCCGCCATGCGGACCGGTGGACCATTGGAGTTTAGGACTCGAGGTGGTCACTTGCTGGAGGCTGGTGAGAATGAAGGAGCTCCGTCCCCGCCGGAGGAACCCAAGGAGCGAAGGAACCCCAAAGGGTCCGGACCCTGATCGAAGAACTTATAGGTCTGAATTGCTTAGAATAGTAAGAATTGGGGGGGGGGTCGAGAAGTGGGATGTGACGTGATGCGACATCTGTGGCCATTCCCAACCAAAGTTCGGCGACACTTGACCTGTCATTCAGAATGGGATGCCCTCGATCCAACTCATCCAACACCCAACCAGCAAAACAAACCCAGTTCGCAAAGCTTCACAAAGGTTCCCAGGTTGCCGAGTTGGAGGGAAGGATTCGAACCCCGAATTCACCGGGAGTGTGCCTTGCAAGCCGCGTTCGGACTCAGGCCTCGGGTGTGGCAGCGGATCCGTCATCGTGCCCAAAAATCCGTGAAGCGAAGATAAATACTTCCCAAAGCATCTCTCGATGCATGACATGATTCTATTTACACATTGATATAGTATAATCGATCTACTATCCATTGCGACATGACTTCGGTGCCTCTTCTTCGAATGGATAAGATACCGTGCCGTGACCTATCCAAACCATCCGGCGCTTCGCACGCACGTGGCCATCGATCATCTAATTAGGCCGATTTTCGGGGCAAACGGCCTGTCTCTGATCCTCAAGAGGACAAATCCATAGGATCTGTCCATAGCGATCTGCCCAGCCTGGCCCTGGAGATGAAACGAACTGTTAGGATGGCCAAAGATCAAGACATGTTGTGCTATACCCCTGGGGTATACTCCAGGGGTGCCAAGAATATTGCAATAATATTTAATCCATAATCCACTATGTATTCATTATATTGTAGAGTATTATGGCTATTTTGTAAAATATAGTTCTCCATATGATTTCGCGCATGGTCAGCATGCAACAGTTGCTTGGTGTCAGTTCCAGTGTCTTTGGCCCCCCAAAACGTGACCTCTATATTTCCAGATGGCAACATCGCCTTTCTTCCTCACTTATACCCTCTTATACCTTGCTTGACCACTATTAGGACTATGTTGCCTACCAGTGGGTGATGTTCCCACGCTTTTGGAATCAGAAGCCTCGAGCAAAGAACCGCTAACACCACACAATTCTTCTACACTGCCACATTGTTTTCGGGAGGGGTCGTCTCATCATCTAGAACCCTACGCCTTCCATTTAATCAACGAAAGTTTGACCTGGTCTCAAAACATCTCAAAACCATCATAAGACCACCCTAATTGCCTGGGAGCTTGAAACTCACACCATCTCCCCTGGATCCTTCTCCCCTCATCTCCCCTCGGCCTCAACCCTCGTTTCGCTCGCTGCTCTCGGCGTCTCAGCCCATGCGACCGGTGTCGCGCGCCGTCCCTCCGGTCCCGCTGGTCGCTCCGGTCCCGGTCCGAGCAACAAGAGCTGGACGGCCCAATGCCAGGGCACCTGCTCGCCTCGGTGGTGAAGCGGAGGAGAGCGGTGACCCGGGTGGGCTTAGGAGGTCCAACATCTCTCAGGGTTGCCATGTTGGGTGGCATGGTATGGGCGTGGTACCGACATGTCTGGTGGTTTGGAGGGAGCGTTCCAACACTAATTAGGATTCGGATTTATTCCTGGTCCTACATTGTTGCCTTGAAACATCATAGGGAGAAAGACGGTGACGGTTTTCGTAGGAGGGAGGGCAGTCGGTTAAATTTAGGATGCATCATCCCTGCAACGAGGATGGACAAATCTGTCTATTGGTCCATTGGAGAGCATCACAGCAACATCCAAAACACCTATATAGAGCATTCTAGAGCATAACTAGGCATACCACCGTGAGCTTCTTGTTGCTGGACATGTCTTGGATGGGTCCCGAGTCCTTGTTCGTTTCAAGAACAACTGACCCTCCTGCGGCCTTCAAGTGCCACCAAGGCGCAGCTGAGCAGCTGCGCCACAGCCAAGGAGTCAGCGCGCAGCTGGCGGTTCACAGGGTTTGTTCAACCAGGAGCACAGGGCTCGCCCTGCTTCATCTTCCCATCAAAACAAATGGTGGTCGTTGGTGGATGGACCGGCATTTCTTTGGTGTCTTTCACAGACCGAAGAATGCTGGGGGGTGACAGAAGTTTGAACCAAACGCTGGAAACTGATGGGGTTCATGCGGGTCCCACACCAGTGGGCCGCCAAACGATTCTGCCTGCTCTTAGAGGTTGACATGACCAGTGGGACGAAACGAAATAGGTGACCAAACACTAGGCGTTGCAAAAGTCCAACATGTATATATATATATATACAGCGTATGGTTTAACTTCGACCTTGCTTCTTGGAACAATCAATATTGTTGTTCAAGAATGTTCAAGAATGATTCCAGAAGAACGTCCGCCCCTCTCTCTCTCTCTCTGTTCCATGAAACTCTGTGCCCAACAAGGAAAAAGCAAATTGAAAAGCAAAAGCAATCCTTTGACACTTTTGTGGGCTCTCCTTCATTTCACCGGACGGATCACACAAAAAAAAAACACACACACAAGCCAGCCAAGGCGGGGCGGCGAAGCCTGTCTGGGACGGTCCCAGAGGTCCCAGGGTCCCAGTCCGACCCCGGGCGCTGGA